CAGGGGTTATTTTGGGGGACACAGGCAAAGCCTTTTGGTTCCCTCAGGTCTTTACCAGTTGTGTCATCTGCCTGGATGGAGCACGATCTTGCTTGACCATGTGGCTTCCCTTGCAAGCATGGGGAAATTCTTCTTCTTAGTGACCCCCCTTTTAGCATAATGCACATTGATTGGCTCCTGTCCTCTGGGGTCTAACAATCCCCCTGCTTGGGAGATTGGATGACTCACTGGAGTTGCATGGTCCTTTCATAAGGGTCCCATTGTGCCCTGGGTGTCTGCTGACCACGAAGGACAAGACTGTCCTCTTAGCACTTTTATCTTTCTTAGCTTTGCTCTCCAAGCCTCTTCTGTTGAATATTCAGAAGAAGGTCAGTTATACCAGTCTTAAGGTAGGAATATCAGGTCTGAATCCTACTGTCATTTTCTCTGGATACGAAAAGTCAAAGTTGTATCCCATTTGCCTTACAGAATATGGCCCATCATGTTAAAATATTGTTCAAGTTGCCAGAGGAATATGAATAGAGCCCAGTTACAAAGTGTTACAAGAAAGTGTAAAACAAACATAATAAGATCAAACAAATTAGCATACTAATTTAAGAAATATAATGTCTAATTTTGTCAGAATTAGAATTTTTTCAAGTGGAATGTATTTGCTTACAAATATGCATTTTAGGTGACTAATTTTGAAATGCACAATGTTTAGGCATATTTAGTTATCCTAATAAAATTAGGAACACAACCTAAAAGAAGTCTATCATTACAAACAATGTTGGTCCTGGGGGATGGGGTGGGGAAACCTGTACATTACTGTTTTCTTCAAGCTCTAGAAGGCTTGTACACTTAGAGAATAAACAAATGCATTTAATATACAAAGAAGTCAATGGTAATTAGTATAACAGTTGCATAAGAAATGTTTCCATATCAACTTAGCTGTTTACTTTTAAGGAGAAATTTATAATCCATGACTCAACAGTATAGATGTAATCATGTCATTTTTGTATTTAATGTATCTACAAAGTTTAACAATACTGACCAAAAAAACCAAACACCAAAAAACAAACAAAAACAACAGAAGATAGCTTTAAATTTCTTACAAGCTTAGAAAATCATAGGTAGACATAGTATCTAATGTACAAGTAAGTGCATCTCATTTGTACAACAAAGTGTTTTGTTACTTAAAGCCAATAGATGTACAACATATTTCACATGGCAGAGTTGTTCAAAAGGCAGGGTTTTTATTTTCTCACCTAAGTAGTACTAAAATGTTATTGTTGCTCTTAATGTTGCTGTCAACAGCAAAAATGTTGTTTTATGTACCACTTTATATATTTAAAGTCCAGATGCACTGCATATTGTATAAAAAAGAGCACTTACTCATTACCATGGGTGTACCACACTTACACATCTTTAGTTTTACAAACTTTGCATAGTCACACAGCATATTTAGTCCTGAGAGGTATACTTAGCCAGTCTCAGATATAAACAGTGGCAAATATAAAACTTGGACTCTGGTAACCCTTAGCTTCCTTCCCAATCAAAAGCTTAATAGAAAACAAAAGACATTATCTTGATAACACGTAAACCTTTGTTTCTTGGCCAGTTTTTGTAAATTTGTAGTAACAGTAGGTTAATATTTTAAGAAAACACCATTCTTTTAAAAATATAATTTGGTTTCACATTAAAGTTATAGATTTGAGTTAAAAACTCTTTAAATGATCTTTGAGATCACAGTCTACTTTATCATACATACACATTTCCTCTCATAAATTTCTTCCTCAACAGACTTTTTGCAATATACATGAGCTTTCTGCTTTTGTTTTCTCTTTCCATTTTGTAGGAAAAAATCTCACCATACAAGATCTATTCTTTCAAAAGCTATTCTCTTATATATGCTTTTCATTAACATCTTTCTTTTTGACTTAGTGGTTTCATTCTTTTTCTTATTCTTTATCTTTAACACAAATTTACCAAAATTTCTGAATTTTGATAAATTACTTTTTCTTAATAAGATAAAATATATTTCTTTTAAATACAAACATAACTCCCCTTATTTATATAGTTGACTTGCCTGTTGGCTGTTACAAGAGTTCACGTTAGGGAAACACTCTGTATCAAAATGGAGAATCCACTCTGTGGAGAATCCTTCCCAGGGTGTCAAAAATGATCTGAATATTCCTTTTTATGTGTTCCCCAAAGCCCCAAATGCCAACAGGTTTGGACTAACTCAAGATGCAGGGCAACCACCCCCTCATTTGGACTTTTCGTACCAGCTATGAGAGCTCCATCTAACCAAGAATGAAATATATTCTTCTCAGATGGTTCCCTATGAGACTGCTACATGTCCTGGGATTATTCACACCTGGTACCTTTACTAAGATCCTTGTCACTTAGGGGCACACAAATGGGCAAGAAGGAGTATCTGTCTCTTTTCTTCTGAGTTTAGAGACCCTTGTGCAGATAAATTGATGGGATTGTTGATGCCCCTATCAGATTTTTAGCCTTTATCAAGTCAATTATCATAAATACAGACTAAGAAACAAAAGAATACATAAGAAAATTATATTAATAATCATCACAAACATAGATTACCAGGCAGACAAGAAAATATATAGAACACATAAATCAATTACATTAAATCAGAGTACACTTTCAGATGTATTAGTCATATAGTATTAGAAAAATAAGTCTCTTTTGTAGCATACATTTATAGCTGTAATTTAGAAAAGTTACCTAGAATTTTCCCTAGGGTAATACTGATGGTACAGAAAAACTTCAATAGAGATCTCGCATATACCCTGGTTTCTTTCTTTTCTTTTTTTTCTTTTTTTTCTTTTTGAGACAGGGTCTCACTATGTAGTTGAGACTGACCTGGAACTCATTATGTGGCCCAGGCCTGTCTTGAACTTGCAGCAAAACTCCTGCCTCAGCCTCCCGAGTGCTGGGATTACAGGCATGCACCATCATGGCTGGCTACCCTGGTTTCTTTACTTTTTTTTTTTTCACATGGGCCAAGCCAAGCCATAGTATTTACCTTGAGGGCCAGAGTGATGCAATCAGTCAGCTTTGACACTGTGGGTGATTAGGCCAGTTTCACGGTGGCCTAGTCTGTGCCTCCTTTGATGTCTACCAGGCAGCAGCAAAACATTGTTGGGTCTCCCAGTGGATGTGTAGGTGCCACTATAGAAGGCCAAAAGAGCCCAAATAACAAGGCAAATTCCCTTTTCAAAACCAGATGACCTAAGTCCAGAAGCCCCCAAAATGCTCAAAGACAATCCTGTGACAGGGCAAATCTCTGTCAAATCCAAATTACTCAGCCCAGTCTGCCAAAAGTGCTCAAATGACAAATGAGACGACAAGATCCAATGTCAGTTGCACCCTAGCTTCTGCTTTATGATACATAGTAGGAACCATGCTTTATCAGAGCTACAATTAATGATATTACTCTAGAATGTTTTCTTTCCAGATGATGATTAAGAGGCTAATAGAAAAAATGGTGCCAGGTACCACAGCAGCAACAGAACTTGGCTGTTATCTGGATATTATTCTTTTTTCTTTTTTTTTAATGGAATGTGCTGAATGTCTATAATTTTGTTCAGATGACTGCAGAACCTGGAAAAGCTGTTGCTGCTATCGATGCATAACATACTATTATTAGTCTTTATATACATATATATCTATATATCTATATATATAGATATATATATATAT